CACCTGGGATTCCCAGTCATCACCCGTCGCTTATTTGATGCCTTCTAACTCAGTTTTTAATCCACAGATTCAACAGAAATTCACGCGGCTTCCGAAGAGATAGCGCGAAAACATAAAGAAAACAATCAATACTAATAGGAGGTATGCTTGCATAACATGTGGAAGCATCCAGCAACCTCACTAACGTGGGATACCCATACTGATCGGCCAGGCGATCTTGATTTTATATTTTACATTTCAGTAAGCTTCCAAACTACTAAACTAGACCTATGCTAAGCCTAAATTTTTGTTGAAGCCTAAAAAGCCTAAAACAAGGCCTCTTTTTCACCTGTTCAGTTGTGCTCATAAAAAGTGGCTTCCATTCCGTATCAATTCCGATTATATCTGCGTTTGCGATCACAGGATATAGTCGTGCAATGTCATCCACATCTGCGATCATTCTGATCGGATGGCCCGGGAAAAGCTCCATATTTGCAACACTTCGTCGTTCCATCTTATATCTGCATAAAGCATTAAGTTGATACACAAAAAGGGGGCACGAAAATACGTATTTAGTGTAACTGTTACAGCAAAAAATGCATAAAAATCGAAAATTTGTTACTTCGCCAAACTGCTGTGAGCTCTTTGAAGTGACCACTGGTTGAGATAGGGTGCCACGCAGCGTGGTGGATGATCAAACATATTGCAGTGAACCACCCATCGTATAGCATCGTCAATATGCCCAACTGTACAGAGATAGCTGACGAAGTATTTTTGCAGAGCAACGTCTGATTGCAAAGCTTGCTGAAAAATTCATCTTCCTTCGGATGGCTAACTTCTGTCTAATGAAATGTCACATATTTCACACAACGATTTATGGCTTTTTGTTAGAAATTGCGTAAGGAGCAACTGTGTTGCAATGATGCAACACTTCTGATCCCCGACTCAACTTCTGGACAACCTACTCCTGTTAGACTTACGCAATCTTAATGATCTGTGACCACCAGGTTATAAAAGCATTTCTCCCCATCTCCGGCATCCAAAGTCGCAGTTTTTTGCCATCTCCGGCATCCAGAGCCGCAGTTTTCTTCCACACTACCGTGGCTCCCCAGAGCCTCGCCACCTTTTAATGCATTGTTTCTTTTTTTATAACTTTACGTTGTATATCTTTAGATTGTTGCCTATAATTATACGTGTACATCTAAAACTAGGTGTTTCTTCAGTTACACACTCCACCACATAACACACAAGTAGGGTATACACACTAGTCCAACCTACTAACTTTTAAGGTTGCAATAGAAAATTCCAATTACAAATCAATAATAACTGGCCAACGCACGGGCTGCCTGTGCGAAGATGCGTTTTTTGCAGAGTTCCCCGCAGTTTTTG